GAAGGGATTTTTCTACCTGGGATAACTGGGCATTTACTGCTTTCCTTTTCTCCTGTGGGAGAAGTCACCTCCACCTGAGAGATCAGCCCTTTTCAGTATTTCCTTAGGCAGAGGTGTGGTGTGGGTAGAGTTTCCCTGACAGCTTCCACTGTGCCCCCAATAGTTATTTCTGCCCCTCCCTCCAGCAGGAGTCTCCTTTGAGAAGGCTAGACTTCTGCAGGTTCTTTCTCTAATGTGTAAGTTCCTCTCCAGGTCTGTACTCACCCAGTTTTTGCCCAGCAGTGACAAGAGGCATCAGGAATGTTTTATACCACCACATTGCTAAATCTATAAAAACTAACTTTTTTTGTGAAATTGAGTCTTTGAATCATGGCAGAGAGAGAAAACCTTTTTGTATCTCTCCTTCAATCTACAACTAGTCAGTCATCTATAATCCAAAACAGGTTTCTATGCTCAGTGCACCAGGACACCTGAGAGATCCATATATTGATATACCTGGAGGTGGGTGTTTTGGAATTTGTAGGAGAAGCAGAATGATGAGAAGGACAGGGATGGTTCTATCTCCATTTTTCCCCAGCCACTGAGAGGAGCACCCTCCCCCCCAACCCTGTGGAAGGTTAGAAAAGCAGCAGAAGTGTTGACACTTGAGAATCTGCCTCCATCCATCCCTGCTGGTGGCTGAGCTTGCACCTCTGGGGACCCCTGTAGCAGCAGTGGAGACATGTCTGTGGCTTCCAGCAATACCACGTGGGCTCATGAGCCCTGCTACACCCATACCCTTTACATGCCTCCATCACAGTGATGGTACTTTGAGACCCAGATGTTCCAGACCCAGCGGGAGCAGCCACCACTCTCGCTGTGAATTCCATGACCACTGCCCCCACTGCAGAGACACAGATAGCAGCCTGGCAGTAGCAACCCTGAAGGCACAAGTAAGAGGAAACAACATCTTGTGCTATGTATAGCACTGTCTACTAGAAAAGAAAAGACAGACCTCTAATTATTAACCTGCTGAAATGCTAAAATCAAAATGGTCCTTCAATAAGAAAAATGATTACTACTTCAAATGCACTGGCAGAGGAACAACTCATAAGCACCATAAACAACCAAGGTAACATGGTATCACAAAAGTAGAATAATTCTCTAGTAACCAAGCTCAAAGTCATAGAAGATTGTGATCTAAATGATAGATAATTCAAAACAGCCATTACGAAGATACTCGGTGAGATACAAAAAAATTCTGAAAGGCAATTCAGTGAGTTCAGGAGCACTTTACTAAAAAGATTATAACTCTTTCAATAGACCAAGGGGAAATTCTGGAGCTGAAGAACTCAATGAGATGAAAAATTCCTTAAAAAGCATTGGAAATAGATACTAAAAAGACAGTAGGAAAGATCAATGAAATGATGAGATCTCTGAAAAGATAAATACAATGGACAACCCTTTAGCTACATACACTAAGGAAAAAAAAAAGAAGACTCAAATAAAATAAGAAATAAAAGAGAAGTTAAAACGGATCATAAAAGAATGCCATGAGACACGATATACGACCAAATTGGAAAACCTAGAAGAAAGGGATCAATTCTTAGACTTACACATCCTTCCTAGAAAGACTGAATCATGAAGAAACAGAAAATATGAATAGACTGATTGCTAGCAAGGAATTTGAAACAGTAATCAAAAATATCACAATAAAACAAAAGTCTGGGATCAGATGGCTTCACTGGTGAGTTCTGCCAAACATTAAAAGGAGATTTAATATTTACGCTTCTCAAACACTTTTTAAAAATTGAAGTGGATGGAATGCTTACACATTTTATGAGACCAGTATAACCTTGATACCAAAACTTGACAAAAATAACACACAAAAGAGAAAACTAGAGATGATTATCTCTGATGAACACATATGCAAAATGCTCAACAAAATGCTAGCAAATAAAATACAACAATACATTAAAAGGATCATATACCCTGATCAAGTAAGATTCATTCCATGGATGTGATGATGGTTCTAATTTGCATATTAATCAACATGATATACCATATTAACATGAAGGGTAAGAATTATATGATTCTCAATAGATGGAGAAAAATAATTTGACAAGGTACAACATTCATTTATGATAAAAACTCTGAATACAGTGGGTATATAAGGAAAGTACCTGAGCATAATAAAGGTCATATATGACAAACCTACAGCTAAATCATACTTAGTGATGAAAAACAAAGCTATTTTTCTAAGATCAGAAATAAGACAAGGATGCCCACTCTCACACTTTTATTCAACATGCACATATTACCTGAAGCAATCTACAGAATCATTGTAATCCCTATTAAAATCCCAGTGGCAATTTTTACAGAAATAGAATAAAATATCCTAAAAAATTTTATGGAACCACAAAAGACCCCCAGATATCCAAAGTAATCCTCAGAAAAATGAACAAAGTCAGAGGTATCACACTCTCCAATTTCAAACTAAACTACAAAGCAATAATGACATAAATAGTATGGTATGGACAGAAATACAGACCTGTGGGCCAATAGAAAATAGTTGGGAGCCCCACAAATATAAGGAGAACTAATTTGGGACAAAGAGGACAAAAATATACAATAGAGAAAGTCTTTTTCATAAGTGGTACTAGGAAAACTGGACGACCATGTGCAAAAGAATGAAACTAGACTACTGTCTTTCACATACACAAAAGACTTGTATGCAAAACCTGAAACAATAAAATACATGGATGATAAATGGGCTCTGAACTTAATGGACGTCAGTCTTAGTGATGTTTTTGTGAATTTGACTCTAAAGGCAAGGAAAACAAAAATAAGACTACAAACTAAAAAGCTTGTATACTGCAAAGGAAACCATTGATAAAACAAAACGAAAAAAACCAATTGAATGGGAAAAGATATTTGCAAATATTTCCAATAAGGGGTTAATATCCGAAAATAAAAACCAAAAATCCCATACCACCACCACCACTAATAACCACAATAAAAATTGCAACTAAAAAGTGGGCAGAGGATCTGAATAGATATGTTTCCAAGGAAGACATACAGATGACCAACAGGCACATGAAGAGATGTTCAAGTTTATTATATATTAGGGGAATGCAAATAAAAACCACAGCAAGATGTCACCTAACACATGCTAGAATAGCTGTTATTAAAAAGACAAGAAATAACAAACATTGGAAAGGAAGTGAAGAAAAGGGAACCCTTGTGTACTGTTGGAGGTAATGGAAGTTGGGGCAGCCACTCAGGCAAACGGTTTAAAAAAATAAATAAACAGAACTACCAAATGATCTTTCAATTTCTTTTTTGGGTATTTATCCAAAGAATATGAAAACACTAACTTGAAAAGATATATGCATCCTTATGTTCATTGCAACAATATTTACAATAGCCAAGATATGGAAACAAGTGTCCATTGACAAATGAATGGATATATATGTTTATATATACACAGTGGAATACTATTCAGCCATAAAAAGATGAAATATTGCCATTGGTGACAACATGGGTGGTTCTCAAGGGTATGATGCTAAGTGAATTAAGTCAGATGGAGAGAAAGACAGAATATTTTTTCAGTCGTGTGCAATATAAAACAAAATGTAAAAACAAAACAAAAACTCACAAATACAGACAGCAGATTAATGGTTACCAGAGGGGAAGAGTATTGAGGGTAGGGCAAAATGGGTAAAGGGAGTCAGATGTATGGTAAAATTGGAAACGAGGCTTTTTGTGGGGAGCACATGACAGATTTTGAATTATAATGTTGAACATCTGAAATTTTTATAATGTTATTAAACAATGTTACCTCAATTTTTAAAAATATACACAGTATTTTAAAAAGTATTTTGTATTGTAGAGATGTATAAACCATGTCAATAATAATAAGCATTCTTAAAATTATTGCCCTTTATAGTACTAATGGATATTAATAATACAAATTATATATTATTTTGTAAAATGCTATTTTAGTTATATGTAAAAATTTGTCATTTAAAGGCATTTGCTGCTGCCCTGGCTGGTTTGGCTCAGCGGTAGAGCGTCAGCCCGAGGACCAAAAAGCCCCTGGTTCAATTTCAGTCAAGGGCCCTTACCTTGGTTGCATGTTCATCTCTGGTCCTGATCAGGGTTGTGCAGGAGGCAGCCAGTGGATGTGTCTCTCTCACTCCCTCTATCGCAGTGTATCTGAAGATAAATAGAAAAATATCCTTGGGTGAGGATTAAAATAAATAAATAAAGGCATTTGCTGTTGAACTCCATTTCAGTGTATACTTAATGATCACCTCTGAAAAAAGAATCCAGATTTTTCTTGACCATGATTTGTTTTGGGTTTTTTTTTGGGGGGGGGGGTTTCTTGGCACCTTTCTTAAAATAAAAAAATAGATATATCTGAATATAGAATATACATATCTCTTTATATTCTTTATTTACAGTTTTATTTATTGATTTGAGAGAGAAACATCAGTTGGGTTTTCTACCTATTTATGCATTTATTGGTTGAATCTTGTATTGAACCCACAACCTTGGTGTATGGGGATAATGCTCTAACCAACTGAACTACCTGGCCAGGGTCTCCCTATTTATTCTTTATTATAAGGAATAAACATACAGGAAGAAGTATTTCACAGTGGTTGAACACTGGGCTCTGAATTCCAGTGGCTCTTCTTGCCTCCAGCTGGCTGTGACAGGTTGCAGCACCTATCTTAACTCTGATTACCTCGCTTAGGGACAGAAGATAGTAATAGTAACTACTGATAGCATTGTCAGTATTAACTGAGGTAAAATGTATAAAATATTCAGTATATTATTTAATAGAGAAAGCCTTTAGCAAATGATATTACTATTAAAATTCTCTGGTAATTTATACGTTCAATAAGTATTTATTTTAAAATAAAGTTATTAAATCATAGGATTAATTTAAAATATGAGATATACTTTTATTTTTACATCATAGATACTTTTTTCTCTAATCAATACTTTTGTTTTAGGTTACTTTTCACATCGAACCATATAGCAATCGAGATGAACAAAACATGCACAGAAATGTCAAATATATTATAGACAAGTGAGTTTCTTTGTTTATAAATTAATTTTGTAGTGAATATTGAAGTCATTTTGAGAAACATTTCTGATATTTTTTACAATTCACTTTCTGTATGAATAATTAAAGATTGCTCTTTAGTATTTTACATGTTTTTAGGCTATGATTTCTGCATACTGACATTTTAAATTATTATTCTTTAAACCTTAAGAATAAAGAGTTTAGTCTTTTTAAAAGAAGGTTCAGATTATGAAATGTGAACTGCTTTTATAGCAATGGACCCACATCTAATATTTTTATTTATATTAGTCTGATCACAAGAGAATAATTTATTAATACAATTTCCTTTTGTTCAAGAGTATCACTGATAATAGTCTGTGACAGATGCCATACTCTTACAAAGAAACTTGTCAGCAACAGTGGGCCATTTATCATTAATACAAAAAAAGCAGATTATAGAAAATGGACTTTTCATGGTGTTAGTCATCAATTTTAGACCTCAGTACACAAATTAATTTCTGATTTGGTAATGTGTTATTGTATCTAGTTATTTCCTTTCCTAATGTATAAAATTAAAATGTATTTTTAATAATTACACTTATATAACTGGCTCCCCAAAGAAGGTGAACAATGTGTATAAACTCTGATTATCTTCATTTTCAATATATAATTATTGTCTGTGGCAAATGAATTGTGAATATTCATTTCACTTTCACCTATGTTTGTATTCTAGGTATGGAAGTCATCCGGCTTTTTACAGGTACAAGACTAAGACTGGCAATTCTCTGCCCATGTTTTATGTCTATGATTCCTACATTACAGAGCCTAAACAATGGGCCAGTCTGTTAACTGTCTCAGGGTCTCAGAGCATTCGTAATTCTCCTTACGATGCATTGTTTATTGCACTTCTAGTAGAAGACAAGCATAAATATGATATTCTTCAAAGTGGTTTTAATGGAATTTACACTTATTTCGCTACAAATGGCTTTACTTATGGCTCATCATATGAGAATTGGGCTAGGCTAAAATTATTTTGTGATCACTTCCAACTAATATTTATTCCAAGTGTGGGCCCAGGATACATAGATACCAGCATCCGTCCGTGGAACACGCAGAACACTCGGAACCGAATCAATGGGAAGTACTATGAGACTGCTCTGAGTGCTGCACTCCAAGCCCACCCCAGTGTAATTTCTATCACCTCTTTTAATGAGTGGCATGAAGGAACTCAGATTGAAAAAGCTGTGCCTAAAAGAACCGGTAACAGAGTGTACCTGGATTACTTGCCTTATAAACCAAGTCATTATCTAGACCTCACTCGCAAGTGGTCTGAAAAATACAACAAGGAAAGAGCAATTTATGCATTAGATCATCAGCCACCTGTTTTTTAATGTATTGATTAAGGTTTAATAATTATAGAAATCACCTATTCTCAGTAAATGCCTTTTGTTTTGAGTTACAGAAAGAAAATTATCAAAATCAGTATACGTTGTTACTGTTATCTTTATAAAAATAATTTGTACTTTTTTTTAAGGTAGTAATGTTATCATTGCTACCCTTCACAATGTTGCACAGAGGAAATGCCTGAAAGTTGGGCATTCTGTTAACTTTCGGACTAAAATTGGCCCTGGCCGGTTTGGCTCAGCAGTTAGAGTGTCCGCCTGAAGACCAAAGAGTCGTGGGTTCAATTCCAGTCGAGGGCATGTACCTTATTTGCAGTTCAGTCCCCAGCCCTGGTCCGGGTCATGCAGGAGGCAACGAGTCGATGTCTCTCCCTCCCTCCTACTCTATATGAAGATAAATGGAAAAATATCCTCGGGTGAAGATTAAAAAAAAAAAATTCTGACTAAACTTGAAATCCTGCTTTAATAGCAATTTAATTTTTATTTCACAATAGATAAATGCTTATTATATAAAGTAGTTAACACACATTTAAATTCTACTTATATTCTGGGCCTAAAGAAATAAGATTGCTTTATTTGTTAATGTACATGTTTCATCTCTAAGTTTTTTAATGATTCAATAAACTTTATTAAGTGTTTGGATTCTGGATAACTACCAATAATTCTTAACGAATATAAAAGCATATACCTTAAACCTTACTGTGAACCATATTGTGTTCAGATACCTGCTTTCTGCAGCACAATATGTATAATCATTTGCAGATTTTTGGTTATGTACATAGCATACTATGTGTTTTGCATGTCTACTGTTTCTGTTTCATGCTGAATTCCAGATTTTAGAAGCTATGGAAAGTTATTTTACGAAAGGTAACAATTGCTTCGCAATTAAGAAAACAGTTGTTTCACAATTATGAAGATGTAATGTCTAAAATGTTATCATTTTTAGTGGACCTTGTCATTTTAACTTCTTTTTCTGTTACTCATGTTTTTCCATTTAATTAGAGACCAACTAACTGTTAGATAAAAAAGTTGTTACTGTTGGATTGCTTTCTTTTATGATTTTAAGCTATTTTTACCAAAAGTATAGAGAACATTTACTTAGCTGTTTTTAGTTTTTTGGGAACATAGAAATAAAAATTCTTTATATCTTAAATTCATTCCTGAAATTTGACATTTGATTAAGTTTAAAACATTAATGGAAATATTTTATTTAAAAGACTATTTTAAGTTATTGTGAATAATAATATTCCAGTTTCAAAACATACTTTTATGGTTCCTATCAGGTTAAATACTTGAGGGCAGTTGTTTGTCATATGGTGACAAATTAATCACCGGTATGCTAAAACTGAATCTCCTTACTTTAAAACCTAGAGAATAAAATACTTTTATTATTATAGTTAATATTTACAGCTAGAACTATAGTAAAAATCTAATATATATGTTATTACGTGGATATTATTTCTTATTTATTAAAGAGAAGCAATAGGGAAATACTAAACAATAATGCATATAAATCTTCAAAATATAAAGACAGTCTGAAACAAATTGTCAGTGAGATTTATCATAAAATAGCCCATTACAGGATGAAAATTTATTTTTAAGCAGTGGTTTTGAAGTAAAATAACACATTTATAACTTAGAATTTGCCATTTGTCAGGGAATGGTCAGGCCACAGGAAGTTAGTACAATAGTAATAATCAACTTTCTATAGGAAATTACAAGGAAAAAAATCTCTATACTGATTGATATAACCAAGTATCTTCCTAGGAACACTCATGAATTTAACCTGTGGATTTTATTTTCTTATGTCCACTTAGCCACTGTATGCTATCGTGGAGGTAAACTCTAAATATGTCACACCTAATAATATTTTATAACATACCATGTTTGTTTACAGAAATATCTATTACAGATGAATTTTTCTCATTGTTTATGTTGTATATTTGAACCCACTATAATAGAAAATTAATTTTATGAAATAATTCTAAGATTAAGGGAGAGTGTATAAAAACAGGGTCAGCAAATCCTCAACACTGATACCACCACTTTCTAGCCTGCTCTGATTGCAGAAATAGATCATCTGCTACAGGACAGCTTGCCTCTGACCTCGCTGTAGTTCCCAGCACATCACCCCACTAGCCAGTAACAGATTCCCACATAATGGAAGACAGTCTGTCTTCGTTGCAGAAAGTTTTCACCCAGGGAAGAATGTTCGGAATCTGATCACATATGAGTTCACTAATTTGTAATTATATGAATATCATTTTTCCTTTCTCCTGTTTTAGAAAACAGTCATTCAGAGGAATTATCTCAATAGTTTTGGTAGTCTTAGGAGGAATGCTTTCAAACTTTCTCAGGTATTCATTACAGCTGCCTTTACCATTTGACTAGTAACAATTTAGATCATTGTGATCACAAGTAGTAACAGCAAACAATGATATCCTAATTTTAAAACTATAGGTTTTAATTTAATAAACTAAAATAACTGTTAAAAGAAGCAGTGTAATTAAGCAATACATAAATTATAATGAATTGTTTTGTGCTTTAATTAGTCCAATTGTTTTTGACTGTAGAAACCAAATCTCCTTCATTGTTCCCTTTAAGGACTAGTACTGTCAAAAAGTGCTATTATTAATGTTTATATCAGTTGCATGTTAACATTTTTTGTTTTAGAGTGTGTAATTAAAAGATTACTATTTTGTTTATGGAGTAGTTAACTTTCATCTAATGAAAGCATGCATGAAATATATTGTATCTTAAATATAAAAATTTCTTTCTTTCTCTTTATGAAATGTTTAATTCCTGATCAAAAGGTAAAAAGGTAGTACGAATTTAGTCACACTCTGTATAATTTCTCTATCTGAGATATGCAGCACTTACAAAGTAGATATCTTTAATTGTACATACCTTTAAAACTGTGAATCTGATTTATACACACACACAAAAGTTTCTTTTTAATTTGCAATTGTCTTGTTATTTTATCCTTTGGGTATAATCTCATATTAGCCCTGACATCCTTTAAGAAATTGATCTTCCCCAAACAGCAAAAGTAATAAGCCATCTGAAACACCTACTAAATTTATAACCTTGTGCTTTTTCAAATAATCAGTTGTTCAATTTAAATCGTACTTCTCTTAAACTCTAGTGCCTACAGAAAGAGTGCTTGAAATCTATATATAAATTTTGAATTAAGGTCAATATTCTCATGTCCCATAGTACAGAGCTATATACTTTATTTATGACCAGCAAAATTTCAGTTATTTTTATAAATATTTAGAATTTCAAAATAAAAAATTGATCTAGCCACAAGCAAAATAGTGGGGTTTTTTGCTCAGATAGTCCTCTTTGAGAAAATGTACTTCAAATTAAATTTTATACTGACTTTGTTACACATCCACATGAAGGCTGAATGTTACTGTATGTTTAATGTAAGGTTATTTTAAAAACTCAGTTACTACTTTGGCTTAATTACAGACTCATTTATTCTTAGTTGTGTCAAAAAACTTACTAGTTATGCTCTTCTATTCCAGCTCTCAGTGAAGGGAGGAGCACTTTTCTATGTGATTCGCTTTTGTTGTTATATGAATATGATGATTTAATTTATGACATCAAAAGACAAAATAATTTGAAACCTAATAAGCAAATAGTCATAGTTCTAAAACTTACTAAACTCAAAATATAGTGGCACCTTTTCTATTGAATGTGCTAGACTTCATTTAAAAGCATCATATATATTGAATTTCAAGTTTCTCAATTTATATACAAAGTTAACAATGTTTAAACAAAGATAAAAAGCCTTTTAGAAGCTACCCCATTGAAATAACTATTTTATGACACAAAGCAATGATGTACCATGGTAAGATAATTCTACATATACTTCAATTTATGGTATATCATTGTATCATCATGCTTTTGCTTTTGACTTTTTCAAAGAATAGGATAGAAAGCTGAGCAAAGATTGTAAACAACACAATATAAAGGGACAAACTTCAGCTACTCAATAACATTTAAAATAAATACATTAATTATAATTATGTCTATGCATAAAAGTATTTTTGAGTCAGTTTTACAAAAACCATTATCAAGCCACTATATCACCCTGGTAACTTGATAATTGTATCTTATGTTATGTAGTCCTGACCCTGATCTTGAAAATACCAGATGCAAAATAGAAAAATATTTAGAAGAAATGAATTGTAATGCATGTAGTAAACTTAAGAAATTTATGTTTGAACAGTCACCTAGGAGTAGCATGCTACCACTTTTTTGTTTGTACATACTAAATATGTACTTATTGAACATTGCTGTTTTATATATCATTTTTTAATTACTCAGACTTACGTTATCCATATTGCAGTCTATTAAGCCATTAATATTACAATGGTGCAATCTAATCTCTGATTACATGTAAAAAGTAAACTGCAAATCTGATTGCTGTATTCTTGAAATTTTGCTGTGTTGCTATATTTAAAGTGCATTCTTGAAAATTATGCTCTTTTTAGGTATTTTGTAAGAAAAATATTTAATGGTAATGATATGAACAGGAGCTAAGCTCAAATTCTGTTATATTTTTCCTCATAGGAGTATTATGTGTTTGTAGTTAAAGACTTAATTTAATCTCCAAATAAAATATTTTGTTAATATACATTATATTTTCATTTCTTTTTTTTAAGTTGAGCCATTCTTAAATAGAGTTTAGGTAATATTTCTTCTTATTAGAATATGTGTACTCTGATGCTTTTCAAAAAGGACTTGAAGTATTTTTCCACAAAAAAAATCACAAAATTATTATATAAATAATGAATGATGGAATTTTAAAAATGCATACAGTACTAGCACCTATAATTGACCACACATTTGTTATTGAGCTTCTGAGTAGTTAAAGCAAGATAGTGCATTGTCCTTATTGCCAGAAAAGAAGCACCTCCTTTCCTATATGAGGCAAGCTTTACTTTGTTGATACGTTTTAAAATAAATTTCTCAAACAGACATTATATCTAGGGTCAAAATGCAAAAACCTACACGAACCTGTCAGGTAATGTAAATAAATGCATCAGGTTTAAGACTTCCAAAGAGTCCTAGGGACAGTGGAAAGCTCACACCTAAAAGGGGTAGGTGCTGCCCTGGCCAGTTTGGCTCAGCGGTTAGAGCGTCGGCCTGCGGTCCGGAGAGACCCGGGTTC